ACAAGCATATATATACAAACATCCCTCTGGGTTTTCTTCTATTTTCTTCCTAGTTCTTGTTTATTTCCTCTTACCTCCATGGGGAAGTGGAACAGAATTCTTCCTCCGTAAGCCATGCGTGTTGTAAGAGGCGACTAAAATACCGGGAGCAAGGGGCTAGTAACCCCTTCTCCTGTATATATTACTTAATGTAAAAGGAGAAACTTTCGTTTTTCCTTTTGGGCCACCCCGCCTCGGTGGGATACGGCCGGTGTGTTGAAAGAAAGACGTATAGGTTTACCTAATCACCTAGTTAAAGTCGTCTCCCTCAAAGTACAGCAAGTCCTCATTTAATGTCGTTTCATTATAATGTTGATGAGGAAAACTTAATTCCCAGCTGTGTGTGTGGAGTTTGCATATTCGTACAGTAGTTTAATTGCCTGGTGGTAGGTGGTGATCCTTGCAATTTTCACTTTCGAAACACATATTCCTTGATTTAGACACAGTACCAGACAAAAATCTTCATGACATTTCTCGTGTCTAGCTAAATCTCTACAAAAACTCAATGCACAAAAAAGGGCCTAAAATTTGGAACTCCCTGCCCGAAAACTCTTGAACTGCAGACTCGACCACCATTTTCAAAACTACCATTAAAACACATCTGATCTCCCTAACACACCACATCATCAATGTCAAAAACCACCTATTCTCTTTTTTGTATCATTAACACGTCCAAAACAAAATACTTACTCTCATTATCTATAATTCCCCCTATATTACACTTACACTCACCCAAATGACTGTAAACATAAAATTCCTAATTTAGCATTTGCCTAATAAATCTTTAGTTAGTTTTAGTTTGCCTGATATAGGAGCTTTCGTAGAAGCAAGTGTATCATGCCAAGGTAAAACCATTCCCATTACTAAGTTTACCTTTGTAATATTGTTATATGTTTTGTACTACCTCACTATTATCATTCTAATTAATGTTAACCACTTTGATTACTTAACTTTTATCGGTATGCAATAATGTATATCAAAATGTACTGCTCCATAACCTGTGTCAATATAGAGTAAGAATTAGGATCAGTCTGCCCAAAATGCCTAGGCATGCTAGTGGCTGTCTTTGTAATTAATATTTTATATGTAAACCACACATTGTAAGCTTTGCAAGGAAATGAACATTTTCATTTTCATGTTGCAATAAGTGCTAATGGTGCACTGTGCACCATTGATGTTTATATCAATTAGCCTATGGTAAAATTGGTTTCGTTATACAGAAGGGCTCTGCTTCACAGTGATTCACTAATATGAACATTTCAAATTACAACCAATAATTTGTTTATACAACTCTGTTGTTCAGAGGGCTGAGGAAGGGTTGTTGAGGTGGTTCGGACATGTAGAGAGAATGGAGCAAAACAGAGTGACTTCAAGAGTGTATCAGTCTGTAGTGGAAGGAAGGCGGGGTAGGGGTCGGCCTAGGAAAGGTTGGAGGGAGGGGGTAAAGGAGGTTTTGTGTGTGAGTGGCTTGGACTTCCAGCAGGCATGCGTGAGCGTGTTTGATAGGAGTGAATGGAGACAAATGGTTTTTAATACTTGACGTGCTGTTGGAGTGTGAGCAAAGTAACATTTATGAAGGGGTTCAGGGAAACCGGGAGGCCGGACTGGAGTCCTGGAGATGGGAAGTACAGTGCCTGCACTCTGAAGGAGGGGTGTTAATGTTGCAGTTTAAAAACTGTAGTGTAAAGCACCCTTCTGGCAAGACAGTGATGGAGTGAATGATGGTGAAAGTTTTTCTTTTTCGGGCCACCCTGCTTTGGTGGGAATCGGCCAGTGTGATAATAATAATAATAATAAAAAAACTCCCTGATTCACTATTACATGTTCATGTGACACTCCGTTTACATCGTCCATGACCTCTCCGTCTATTATGTCTGGAAACTTCCCAAAATCTCAAGTTTTTTAAAGTTATTACACATTTTATGTATTTTTCTTTTTACATGTCACCAAGGGAGGGTGACCCAAAAAGAAAAAAAAAACTTTCAACATTCAACACTTTCACCATCACTCACACAATCATTGTCTTTGCAGAGGTGCTCAGATACAACAGTTTAGAAGTCCTTCTCAACTGCCAATATCCCGAACCCCTCCTATAAAGTGCAGGCATTGTACTTCCCATTTCCAGGACACAAAATATTACTCTGCTCATACTCCAACAACTCATCAGGTCCCAAACACCATTCATCTCCATTCACTCCTAACACGCTCATGCACACTTATGTGTACTTTGTGTGTACCAAATAAATTAACGCTGTGCTGACATGCATGTACACATTAAAATCACTAAGAGTGTCTCACGTTGATGCAATAAAAATAATAATAGCTCTGAGGCACTTTAAATGTCGTATACGTATTACGTTATCATAGACATTTTCATTAATCCATCCATGATACTGTTTTCAAAATTATACAAGAAACACGCTACATGTCACAGACTAACATAAATATGAGATGTGGTAGCCGGGCGGCTTGTACGAGTGGCCAAGAATTTAATTTTCCTTTGGCTAATACCAGAGAAACTGTCTACATTATAGTATTACTGGGGTAACTGTAGAAAAATATTTCTTTCTTATGTCTTCAATCATAGCATCATTCACTCTAAAAAGGGAGTGTTGCTTGAGAATGAGAGTGTTGTGTTATTTTATTGCACCAATGTGGAGACAATTTTTACAGTGTAAGGTATTTACTTGTATTGTGGGAAAAAAGCTTCACAGATGCATGTATTATGAAAAAAAAAAAAATATGAACTGTGTTCGTCCAACCACCCACCAACCATTCACTCTGTTTACTTCTCCGTGTCTCGTTTATGATGACATCTAAGATTACTTTAAATGTCCAGATAGAAATGATTAAACTCAGTGAACAAGGTATGTTGATGGCAATAACTAAATTTTTCAAAATTATATAAGAAATATGCTGCATATCATATAAAGAAATTATATACAATCATAGTAAAACAAACATAATTGTGAGGGATGGTAGCCAGGCAAGCTACCACACCCTACTTCCTACAATAAATACTCCCAACCTCTCACTCTACAAATACTCTATAGTAGGAATGAGTGTACTTTATGCGCATTTTACTTTTTTTTATTGTTTTTATGCCTAGTTCTACTGCTAACTTAATATGAGTGTAAACATGTTATCAGGCATTTATATGTATTTAAAGATTAAAAAAAAAAAGTGTGGGGGGGGGGGGGAGAGTCAATTCGCTCTATGGCAATTTTAGCTTCACAGCAATAGTCTGGAACCTAACTCGCCATAAAAGTGGGGCCCTTTGTACATCATTTCACATAAAGTCGCAGTTTCTAAGAATCTATCAATGATGTTAAGGGGTGATTGGAGTGCCGGCGCGCGGTTAGGTTAGGTTAGGGGGCTAGTTCCGGGGAGTAAAGAGGGTGAGGGATGACCGCCATGTTTTTGGCCAGAAAACACTGGACAGACAGTGCAGCATGAGCAGGGGCACTATCATGGTGAATGAACCAATCATTGGATGCCCACAGCTCCATGTATTTCCTTCTCATGTCCCCTTCAAACATATCAACCTCTACATAAACATTTTGGTTAACTGTTTGCCCTGCTGGAACAAATTCCTGAGGAAAGATTCCCACATGGCATGAGGCCCCCCCCATCCTCTTTCAACTTCAAAAAATCAACTGATGGCTTCGCAATTTTTTATATAGTGAACAACTGCAGCCAATTTATATTTTTAACACTTTAGCCAAAACCTTTACCCCTCTCTTCAAACCCTTTCTTCCACTCCCAGATTTCCTTTGTCACCCTATTCTGTTTCATCCTGTCTTAAATGCCTGAATTACCTCAGCCTCTCTTCAGTCCTCTGAATTATACCTTTGGTAAATTCCCACTATCTTCTAATTCCTATACTCTGAATTTCTCTTCATAACATTCACACAAAACATCACTCTCAAACATGACATCTCTACTATCTTATTTATAGAAGTACTGTACAGATAGTTGTGGAAGGCCAAACGTTAGTTTCTCTCTACGGAAGTCCAGTAAATCATTACTACACAATAACTAACGTTATATGATGCTTACTGTACATTTATTCATCATGCTTTAATATGTAAAAAATAAATGGCAATTTTTTTTTTACTGGCCATTTCCCAACAAAGCAGGGTGATGACCCACTCATTCAAAGTCTTGCTAGAGGTCCACAAAAAAACAGTAATACATTCTTTCAATTTTCTTTCAACATACCAGCCGTATCCCACCGAGGTGGGGTGGCCCAAAAGAAAAAACTGAAGTTTCTCCTTTTAAATTTAGTAATATATACAGGAGAAGGGGTTACTAGCCCCTTGCTCCCGGCATTTTAGTCGCCTCTTACGACACGCATGGCTTACAGAGGAAGAATTCTGTTCCACTTCCCCATGGAGATAAGAGGAAATAAACAAGAACAAGAATTAGAAAGAAAATAGAAGAAAACCCAGAGGGGTGTGTGTATATATATGCTTGTACATGTATGTGTAGTGTGACCTAAGTGTAAGTAGAAAGTAGCAAGACTTACCTGTAATCTTGCATATTTATGAGACAGACAAAAGACACCAGCAATCCTACCATCATGTAAAACAATTACAGGCTTTCGTTTTACACTCACTTGGCAGGACGGTAGTACCTCCCTGGGCGGTTGCTGTCTACCAACCTACTACCTACAAGTAATACATACCTTTATTTAATGGACTTCAATATAAACTTGAAACAAAATCTGCTGGGAAATTGTACTAAACTTTTTTCCAATGTTCACTACAGTACAGTATATCTAAATTGTGTATGCAGTTCTATAATAATAGGTACACAGCAAAGTACATTTGTGCTCATTTTCGATAATTTTTAACATTTTGATGAAAAGGACACTAACAGTCCCTCCATTAGTCTGTTATACTGAAGCATTACTGTTACTGGTTTCAGAAAAACTAACAATAATAAACGGAATTGCTTACCTTGCTGAGAGTTCTGGTAATCACGCCAGAGAATTTCTATTTTCTTGATAAGCTCAGACTTTTCCCTCATTCCTGAATAGTTGACACGATGCAGTGCCAGCAGTTCTTTGCACTGCCGCACACTTAAGCGACTTATATCTTCTTCAGATTTCAGGTTCCCAAGTGGTATGATGTTGGACACAGACTGAAGAAAGGGTTGAGAATTATGGATTTCTGGTATGTGAACTTTTAATAATGTTTCATATAAATATTCAAGCCATACAATTCCTAGCCCTCCCCCTCCCCCCCACCCCACTGGCCACTTCCCACCAAGGCTTGGTGACCTGAGAAAGAAGAAACACTTTCATTATCACTCACTCCATCACTGTCTTGCCAAAGGTGTGCAGATATTACAGTTCAAAAACTGCAACATACATGTACATCCACCCCTCCTTCAGAGTGCAGGCACTGTACTTTATGTATATGTGTATTCTCATATTACCTGGAGTATACCTGGAAAGGGTTCCTGGGGTCAACACCCCCACGGCCCAGTCTGTGACCAGGCCTCATGGTGGATCAGTGCCCGATCAACCAGTCTGTTACTGTTGGCCGCATGCAACCCAACATAAGAGCCACAACCCGGCTGATCAGGTACTGACTTTAGGCGCCTGTCAAGTGCCTGCTTGAAGATAGCCACGGGTATATTGGTAATCCCCATTATGTATGCTGGGAGGCAGTTGAACAGTCTTGGGCTTTTGACACTTACTGTGTTGTCTCTTATCGTGCTAGTGGCATCCCTGCTTTTCATTGGGGGGATGTTGCATCATCTGCTGAAACTTTTGCTTTCGTGTGCAAGTTTGGTACTAATCCCTATAGGATTTTCCATGTATATAATCACGTATCTCTCCCGCCTGCGTTCTAGGGCGTACAGGTTGAGGAACTTCAAATGTTCCCGGTAACTGAGGTGTTTTATAACAGTTGTGTGTGCTGTGAAGGTTCTCTGTACGTTTTCTAGGTTAGCAATTTCACTTGCCTTCAAGGCAGGTGAAATTGCTGGAAAGTGCTGTTAGTGTGCAGCAATATTCCAGCCTAGATAGAACAAGTAACTTAGCTTTTAAGGTTCTCATTATCCATCCTGTCATTTTTCTAGCAGATGTGATTGATACAATGTTACTGCCTTAGAATGTGATTGATACAAGGTTATGGGCTTAGAATGTGATTGATACAATGTTATGGTCTTTGAAGGCGAGATCCTCTGACATGATCACTCTCAGGTCTTTTACTTTAGTTTTTCACTCTACTGTGTAGTTGGAATTTGTTTTATACTCTGATGTAGTTTTAGTTTCATCATGCTTTCCATATCGGAGTAATTGAAATTTCTCATCATTGAATTTCATATTGTTTTCTGCAGCCCATTTAAAGAGTTGGTTGATGCCCACCTGGAGTATTACGGTATCTTCAATGGAGGACACTCATGCAAATTCAGGTGTCATCTGCAAAGGAAGACACGGCACTGTAGCTTATATCTCTGTCTATGTCAGGCAAAGATAAGGAACAAGATGAGAGTGAGTACTATGCCTTGTGGAACAGAGCTTTTCACCATAGCTGCCTCAGACTTTACTCTGTTTACTACTACTCTTTGTGTTCTATTTGTTAGGAAATCATAGATCCATCTATCAACTTTTACTGTTATTCCTTTATCACTCATATTGTGTGCTATTACACTATGGTCACAATTGTCAAAGGCTTTTGTGAAGTCTATTTACATTACATCTGCATTTTGTTTGTATTCTAGAGCATCCAGGACCTTGTCATAGTGGTCCAGTTGTTGGTACAGACAGGAGCAACCTGGTCTAAACCCATGCTGCCCTGGGTTGTGTAACTGATGGGTATCTAGATGGGTGGCGATCTTGCTTCTTAGAACCCTTTCAAAGATTTTTATGATATGGGACGTTATTAGTGCTATCGGTCTGTAGTTCTTGCTACCACTTTACTGCTCCCTTTGTGGAGTGGGGCTATGTCTGTTGATTTTAGCAGCTGTGGGATGACCCGTGTCCATGCTCCCTCTCCATAGGATGTTAAAAAGCACATGATAGGGGTTTCTTGCAGTTCTTGATGAATATGGAGTTCCACGAGTCTGGGCCTGGGGCAGAGTGCATGGGCATGTCCTTTTCGAAGTCCTCTGGCATCAGGATAATATGAGACAGAATTTAGTAGACACAAACCTGTCTCTCTCATATTGGTAACTTCACATGCACAATATAAATTTGTCTTAAGTAATCTGTGTGGCTCACCAAGCATAGAGGCATCTCACGATGTGGTTGAAAGATACACGAGCAAATACGTTTATTTGGGAAGTTTTATTATGGAAATATCATCCTGGGACCTTATTCACTTCAAACATACACAAGTCATACATGAAGTGAAGAAAGACCCAGAACCAATGCATTTCCACAATAAAGTGCCCCAGGCACTTACTCAGGCATTTTTAAACAACTTGCTGGCATCATTCATCAGGTTTACATGGAGCTTTTTATGATGAAGAACTAAGTGTTGACCATAATTATAGACCTTAATACTGCTGCCATGTACCTTGTACACCTACTGCATGAAGCCATGAACACCTGTACATGAACAAAGTGTAGTCTTTTTAAGCAAAAGCATAAACATGTTAAGACTGTAATAAGATTTGTTTGGATTTTTAACCCAGGAAAAGGTTAGCCACCCAGGATAACCCAGTGAAGTTAGAGTGTCATTGGAGGGACTGTCTTATTTCCATAGGGGCCCTCTTTTTCCCCCAGGATGCGACCCGCACCAGTCGACTAACACCCAGGTACCTACTCGCTGTTAGATGAACAGGGATAGCAGGTGCAAGGAAACATGCCCAACATTTCTACCCATGCCAGGGACTGAACTACACATATACTAAGTATATGAGGCGAGTGTGCTGTCAACCTGGCCACAAGACCTGTCATGATGCAGTCAGTTGGAAGTCACTCAAGGAATTCTGCTCAGAGGATTCCCTACAAGCAAGAAGACATGGACGAGAGAAGTGTACCTTATCAGGAGAGCGAGGGAGGAGGAAGCGAGCAAGACAAGAGGGGTCAGGGAATATAGCAGTATACAAGGTGGGGAGGAAGAAAAGAACAAAATAATAAAATTAATAAAATAATATAATGAAATTTAATAAAATTAAGTGCTAAACCCAAAAGGGTCTATGTAAGGAGAAGAGGAAGATTAATATTATTAAACTTCATAAAATGCACTCAACCCACATGGATCACTAAGCACCCAAAGACTGAGGAAGAGTCAACAAGGAAAGAGGAAAATTAGAAACAAAAGGGAAGAGATATTAGAAAAACAGCATGAGAGGGAAGGGGTAGCAAGACGAATAAAGGTTACAGTAGCATAGATGGAACAACCCACAACTTCAGAGAGAGGAGGTACTTGTTAACTTGGAGAAGAAGGCTTAGACAATATTATTTTAACAGTAAAGATTTTTTGTTGTATCATATGTATGTTAGAGTTTTTTGGTCAAATAAATTATCAGACTTACAGATTTGTTTGGTTCGGGTGAAGATGCTGATGAAGGCGGTGCTGAGGACGAGGCTGATGATGATGTAGCACTAGTGGGCACAAACTCTTCATTAGGTGGAGCAGATGGATGTGTATCCAACACAGGGGTTGCTTCCACTTCAGAACCATATGATGAATTAAAGCCTATAAATGAAGCTTCTGATGCTGCACTGTGTTGAGGTACGGCTGATTGCTGAGACCCAGAAAGAGAATCAGCTGCAGCTTCTGAGGTACTCAATCCTACACTGTCAAGCGAGTTAAAATGCATAATTGGCATTTCCCCTCCAGCACCGTTAACTACTTGCTCACCAGATCTCTCAGAGGCAGCAGCATCTGAGAAATGGCTATCGGTGATATATTCAAAGCTATCTCTACTTGATGCATCAGCATTAATGGGACAAGAAGGCCGACTAGATGCCCCATTATTACAAGAATCTAGACTACAACATGATGCTGTACAGTCTTCACTTGGGCAGTGTGAACAACGTACGTCGGCACTCTCAGAACAACCCTCTGCACTGATGGGAGAGAGACTACTGGCTCTATCTTGTTGGTGTACCCGTCCTTCTGTTGCAAACACTCTGATACCAAAGTCTGCTTCTGGATCATAACCATTAGTGTCAGGAGAGAGTGGGCAATCTGGTCTAACTCTGGTACTGGCCACTGCTCTCACCCGAATACTACCATTATTGGTATCGAAAGGTAATATGTTACTGGGCCTCACGCGGATACCATCATCGCTGGTAGTAGTGAAATGAGGAGGTGGAGTGTAATTAGGTTGCAAGTTAGCATTCACAGTGTTGATGTCACCATTCAAAGGTGTTCTCTGTCTTCCAGTAGCATCTGTGCCTCTATGTTTGGTACTTATGTGCCGTGTCACAAGCTCTATCAGGTCACGTTTTTCTGAAAAAAAAAAAAAAAATAAATAAAAACTACACAAATTTAGTTAACAGCTAGTTTCATACATGTGATATTCACAGAGCACTATGACTGCATAGATCACTCAATGCTCTTAGCCATAAAACAATGTATACAACACAATAAAAAATAAAATTAAACAATAAAAGCAACAAAAATCTCATCTCACCAAGCTTCAGGAAAGAGAAACAGTGCTTAAAGTAATAACAATGTTAAGACTTCACAAATTCATATAGTAATTAAAAAAAAAAGGGGGAGAGGAACAGGTGGGGTTTGAACTTTGGTGCACGAGTCTTAAAACTCCAGGCCACTGGTGAAGTCATGGATTCAAATCCCACCCATTCTGTTTTTTTTTTTGTTTGTTTTATTTTCAATGTAATATCAAGTATCTCATTCCTTACATAATCAGCATTTTAAGTTAAATGTCAAAGAACCTCTAGGATTCTTTCAGGACAGAATCCAATACATTGGTAACAAGCACAGTAACAAGATGGAGCCCACACCTGCTGGAGCACAGGTGTTCACAAAATTCAGAGACCTGTTACCAGGATAGTTTTTGGCAATAATCAGAATTATAATGAGACACTGAAATAAAGCAATCTCACTTGTACCGAGGGAAAAAAAGTATTAAAGGGGGATAAAGGGTACAACATTCAGGGACAGACTTTTCAAGAGGCAGGAATTAGGCACAAGAGGGCATGGCTGAAGTTACAAAACTCAGAAGTCAAAGAAATATTAGGAAATACAGTCAGGTCCCACTTATACAGCAGGTTAGGTTCTAGGCTACTGCTGTAAATTGAAAAATACAGTCAGGTCCCACTTATACAGCAGGTAGGTTTCTAGGCTACTGCTGTAAATTGAAAAATACAGTCAGGTCCCACTTATACAGCAGGTTAGGTTCTAGGCTACTGCTGTAGATTGAAAAATACAGTCAGGTCCCACTTATACAGCAGGTTAGGTTCTAGGCTACTGCTGTAAATTGAAAAATACAGTCAGGTCCCACTTATACAGCAGGTTAGGTTCTAGGCTACTGCTCTAAACTGAAAGTCTTTTTTTCACTTTCAAATGCATAAAAAAAAGCCTGATAACAAATTTATACTATCACATATTAAGTGAGCAATAGCTAGGCCTAAAAAATGCATATACAGTACATGCATTACTTACCTTAAAATATTTTCATACTTAGCTTACAGTGAGTGGTGAATATTTATTGTAGAAGTCTGAATAAATGAAGAATGGGTATAAATAAAAACTGCTGCACTAGCAAAATGCTGTAAAGCAAAGCACTGTAAAGTGGGGCCTATCTTCTGGAGTTTACCTGGAGAGAGTTCCGGGGGTCAACGCCCCCGCGGCCCGGTCTGTGACCAGGCCTCCTTAGGTCAGTGTCCCAGGATGCGACCCACACCAGTCGACTAACACCCAGGTACCCATTTTACTGATGGGGAACATAGACAACAGGTGGAAAGAAACACGTCCAATGTTTCTACTCTGGCTGGGAATCGAACCCAGGCCCTCACCGTGTGAAGAGAGAGCGTTAACCACCAGGCCACCAGAGCCTGGTGGTACTATCTGTACTACTTTAGCCTTAGAGGAAGCAGAATGACTTACAAGTGGTAGAGGCAGGATCCATACATAGTCAAGAAAAGACATGACATTTTGCATACCCAGAGAGAGACCCAGTAACAGCAGCAATGAGTCAGGGGGTTATGAGCCCAGATTACCTCACAACCATACATAGGGAAATACTTTTATGTATCGACAGTGAGGCTAAAGGGTGAAGGAAGACAGAGGAGTGGGACTAGGTCAATGGGACAAACATGAACCAGAAAGGTAAACAATATAATTTCTTTAAAATGTGTAGTGAGAGTGAACAATAAGATTAGTGAAAAACAAATGTTAAACTGACTACCCATACTGACTGATAGGATCATTCAGTGGTGTTCATAAAGTTGAACACAATCAACACTGATACAAACCCTAAAGCTATACCCATATAAAAAGAAAAAACGATGGCAAACTTTTGGGCACAAAGAGATACAATATAAAGGGGAAAAAAATTGCTTCTGTACTATGAGCATTAACAGTAAACCACAGTAAACCACTTGCAATAAAAAAACGAGTAACAAAAGGACACTATCAGAACTATGTAATTCAAGCTATAAACAGCACACACCATTGTTATTCAACTTTTTTAACAGGCAAGTCAACATAATGAACATTCTACTCTAAATACTTCAACATCCCGAACCGGAACACAAAATTAGAGAAAAAACTTTTCCTCAATGACAAAAAACTTACAGGCTAAAAATAAAATTTTTTTTTTTAACACGTTGGCCGTTTTCCACCGAAGCAGGGTGACCCAAAAAGAAAGAAAAAACTTTCATCATTCAACACTTTCACCATCACTCATACGTAATCACTGTCTTTGCAGAGGTGCTCAGATACGACAGTTTAGACATCCCTCCAAACTGCCAATATCCCAAACCCCTCCTTTAAAGTGCAGGCATTATACTTCCCGTTTCCAGGATTCAAGTCCAGCTAACTGGTTTCCCTGAATCCAGTCACAAAATATTACCCTGCTCACACTCCAACAGCTTGTCAGGTCCAAAAACCATTTGTCTCCATTCACTCCTATCTAACATGCTCATGCATGCTTGCTGGCAGTCCAAGCCCCTAGCCCACAAAACCTTTGGCACCTCCCTCCAACTTTTTTGGGGACAACCCCTACCCCACCTTCCTTCCCCACAGATTTATATGCTCTCCAAGTCATTCTACTTTGATCCATTCTCTAAATGACCAAACCACCTTAACAGCCCCTCTTCAGTCCTCTAATACTTTTAGTAACCCCACACCTCCACCTAATTTCCACACTACAAATTCTCTGCATAATATTTATACCACACATTGCCCTCAGACACATCTCCACTGCCTCCAGGCACCTTCTCGCTGCAGCATTTACAACCCATGCTTCACACCCATATAAAAGTGTTGGTACCACTATACTCTCGCACATTCCCTTCTTTGCCTCCATGGATAACGTTCTTTGTCTCCACAGATACCTTAATGTACCACTCACCTTTTTTTCCTTTCACCAATTCTATGGTTAACCTCACAAATTTTTTTTATTATTTTTTTTTTATTATCACACTGGCCGATTCCCACCAAGGCAGGGTGGCCCGAAAAAGAAAAACTTTCACCATCATTCACTCCATCACTGTCTTGCCAGAAGGGTGCTTTACACTACAGTTTTTAAACTGCAACATTAACACCCCTCCTTCAGAGTGCAGGCACTGTACTTCCCATCTCCAGGACTCAAGTCCGGCCTGCCGGTTTCCCTGAATCCCTTCATAAATGTTACTTTGCTCACACTCCAACAGCACGTCAAGTATTAAAAACCATTTGTCTCCATTCACTCCTATCAAACACGCTCATGCATGCCTGCTGGAAGTCCAAGCCCCTCGCACACAAAACCCCCTTTTAAACCCCCTCCCTCCAACCTTTCCTAGGCCGACCCCTACCCCGCCTTCCTTCCACTACAGACTGATACACTCTTGAAGTCATTCTGTTTCGCTCCATTCTCTCTACATGTCCGAACCACCTCAACAACCCTTCCTCAGCCCTCTGGACAACAGTTTTGGTAATCCCGCACCTCCTCCTAACTTCCAAACTACGAATTCTCTGCATTATATTCACACCACACATTGCTCTCAGACATGACATCTCCACTGCCTCCAGCCTTCTCCTCACTGCAACATTCATCACCCACGCTTCACACCCATATAAGAGCGTTGGTAAAACTATACTCTCATACATTCCCCTCTTTGCCTCCAAGGACAAAGTTCTTTGTCTCCACAGACTCCTAAGTGCACCACTCACTCTTTTTCCCTCATCAATTCTATGATTCACCTCATCTTTCATAGACCCATCCGCTGACACGTCCACATCCCAAATATCTGAATACATTCACCTCCTCCATACTCTCTCCCTCCAATCTGATATTCAATCTTTCATCACCTAATCTTTTTGTTATCCTCATAACCTTACTCTTTCCTGTATTCACCTTTAATTTTCTTCTCCTGCACACCCTACCAAATTCATCCACCAATCTCTGCAACTTCTCTTCAGAATCTCCCAAGAGCACAGTGTCATCAGCAAAGAGCAGCTGTGACAACTCCCACTTTGTGTGTGATTCTTTATCTTTTAACTCCACGCCTCTTGCCAAGACCCTCGCATTTACTTCTCTTACAACCCCATCTATAAATATATTAAACAACCACGGTGACATCACACATCCTTGTCTAAGGCCTACTTTTACTGGGAAAAAATTTCCCTCTTTCCTACATACTCTAACTTGAGCCTCACTATCCTCGTAAAAAAATCTTCACTGCTTTCAGTAACCTACCTCCTACACCATACACTTGCAACATCTGCCACATTGCCCCCCTATCCACCCTGTCATACGCCTTTTCCAAATCCATAAATGCCACAAAGACCTCTTTAGCCTTATCTAAATACTGTTCACATTATATGTTTCACTGTAAACACCTGGTCCATACACCCCCTACCTTTCCTAAAGCCTCCTTGTTCATCTGCTATCCTATTCTCCGTCTTACTCTTAATTCTTTCAATTATAACTCTACCATACACTTTACCAGGTACACTCAACAGACTTATCCCCCTATAATTTTTGCACTCTCTTTTATCCCCTTTGCCTTTATACAAAGGAACTATGCATGCTCTCTGCCAATCCCTAGGTACCTTACCCTCTTCCATACATTTATATAAATAATTGCACCAACCACTCCAAAACTAAATCCCCACCTGCTTTAAAAATTTCTATCTTTATCCCATCAATCCCGGCTGCCTTACCCCCTTTCATTTTACCTACTGCCTCACGAACTTCCCCCACACTCACAACTGGCTCTTCCTCACTCCTACAAGATGTTATTCCTCCTTGCCCTATACACGAAATCACAGCTTCCCTA